GTCCAGCTTGGAAGATTCCACCCAGCACTATACCCCATAAAAGGAGATCATAGGCGGCCTATTGAGGTTCCTCCCCACAGCCAGCAGATCCTGTGAGGGCCAGCCAGGAAGCACCAAGGCAAAGAAATGGGGGTCCTACTTCTTTGAAACATTTTGAGACTCAGAGAAATAAGGAAAATCTGTGTCTCTCACCAATTGGGGGCACCCTTTTGGCCTTCAGGGCCCTAGGTCTGGGTTGTAGACAGCCTGCAAGTTCTGAGCATCATTTATATCTCCAAAAATAGGCTTTGAAATGTCCCTGGAGTGCTGGTGTGATGCTGTAGGGTAAGCTCTGGACTGCTGGTCACAAAGTCAGCGGTTCAAACCCACCAGCAGCTCCTTGGAAACCCTATACAGAGTCGCTATGAATTAGAACCTACTAAAGGGCACTTAACAGCAACAACTGCCTTGCCTTCCCAAGTTAAGATGGAGGGAATTTTAGGACTCACTTCCACTTTCTGTGTATAGAACCCTGTTGGAATCAGCATAGAATTTACTTCAGGGCATTTCCCAGACCCAGAATCTTCCAACTGGTGGGAAAACAGGAAAGGATAAGGGAGCTCCAGGGAGCGTGTTTGGGGAAGGAAGAAGTGAGGTGGGGGGCGGTGAGGGGGGGGACCATGGGAATATACAACAGGGGGTTGGGAAGAAGCAGCAGGTCAGGAATGCAAAGCTGAGCCTCCGGGTGGTTGTCTGGCAAGGCCCCTTTTCCCTGGTACCACTGAATCCCACTCATGTGCATTCAGGAACATGCAAACAGACATTTATGGAGGGATTTTTGGGTGCTTTACCTTGAGGTATAACTGAGGGAAAAACATCAACTCTGGGTTTTTACTTGGTGAGACCACTCCAGCACATTCAGGGAGCCTGGGACTAACAGAAAATAGGAAAGAACCAAGGTGGGAATTAAAGTATGTGCAGAGAACAGAGCTGGAGCTGTAGTGTGGGCTTCTCCTTTGTGACTGTAGAGAGGTAGCTATACTTTTAATAAGTGCTGCTCCTTGTGGGCCAGCTAGGTGCAGGGCACCAGGTTTATCTGTGGACCTACACATATAGCCCGTCTCTCCTAACTACAACCTTGGGTAAGAGGGTCATCGTCATCTCATCTTAGAGTCAAGAAAACTGAAGCTTATCAAGATAATCAGGTGGACAGAAGTTGAACGTGACTACCACGCTGATGTTAGGGAGGTCTTTGATTTTCGGCTGGTTTTTAGGTGTGGGTGTTTTCTAGGTATGATGGAGGATCCTTGGGCCTTGGAGACAGGGTGGCTGGGGCAGCTGGTGAGAGGAATGGACTTTCCCACTTTGTTCCCTTGGTTCTGCCCTTCTGGCAAATGTGTATCTGTGCATGGAACATTTCTCCACAGTGATGCTGTACTCAGAACTGCATATTGAGTATCTGTAATTAAAAAACAGAGGTGAGAGGGAGAGAACAAGTCCAGACTGGGTGGAACGGTGGAACTAAATAGAAAGGGTTATCTTTCAACTGGAGTCCTGGTGTGGTGCTGTGGTTTAATGCGCTGGACTGCAAAGAAAGGACCAGTTGGATTGGGAAGTGGTCATGACCAAGCAGTGTTGTAAAACAGAGATATGGTTCAATCTTTTTGTGGGAAAATTTCCAGGGAGAACTGGGGCTTTGGTTGAGGCTGGTCTCATGAAGTGTGAAGGTGGTTGCCTTGGTCAGAGACTAAGGCTGGAACATTCCTTCCAACGTGAGGGAAGGCCCGAGAAGCAGACTATCCCATCAAGCCTCACCCTTTGATTTGGGTGCTGTGCTACCCTGTGAACAGTTCTAGTGAAAAATTGTCTGCACCTCAGACTTCACAGGTAATCGTTTTTAAATTTTCATATAAGGAGTAATAACTTG